GTTAGGCCTTGGTTACTGGCTGGGGTTGATGTTTAGTTGCCAGCCAGCAGGCAAAACAAATGGTTTCCCTGGTGACAAGGAAGGTCTTCATCGCCTTGGATGCAGCAGTGGTGATGGACCAGATCTCCACATGGGAAATCCAACGGGGAAGAACAAATGCAGGAAGGTCTGCAGGTACTGATTGCTCCACACAGTGACAAGGAGGAGGCCATTCCCCACCAGGGTTAGAAGATCCATGGAGAAGAAAAGGCTCATTGTATGTGTGGTAATTCCTGGTTGCACTGACTTCTTCATTCCCTCACAATTACTTGTCCAATTCAAATGCCCACTGCTGATGGAAGCTACACAGTCACAGAAGGAGGAAAATGCTTTTAGGATCGTGGAGTCCAATTGTAAGCTGAACACTGCCCACTCCACCACTAACCCCTGTTCCCTCGTGCCACATCTAAGCTTTCAAAGATTTTCAGAGCAGAAATTTTTCCTAAGATCCAATCTTAACTTCCCTGGGTACAACTTGAGGCCATTTCCTCCTGTCCTGTCCCTTGTTACTTGGGAGAAGACACAACAGCCACCTCGCTACAACCTGTTTCCAGAAAATGATAAAGAGTGATAAGGTCTCCCCTGAATTTCTTCCAGGGAGTCCAAGACCTTGACATCCAGCACCTTCCTGCTCTACTCACCAAGTCTCCATCTCACGCAGAGCAAAGAGCAGGCTCTGAAACTGGGTTGCTCATCACTGGCCTGGAGCCACTAAACATCAAGGCTCTGCAGAGGAGATGCAGAGGAGCACCCTGGCAGGGCAGGACTCCAGCACACCTTGGAAGGACAGAGGACCCAGAGAGGGCACAGAGGGGGCATGACACGAAGGACCCAGTGCACTGATCTGAGAGTACACGTAGAGTAGCAATAGGGTCAACCCCCCAGCAGAAGCCCACTTGAGTGTAAGAGTGACCAGCACAGAGACGAGGTGGAAGCAAAAGACAAGGATGTGTCATGTCCCCTCCCATGGCAGTCCTTGGGCACGTGTACAAGAAGCACAAGAGCAGTGTCCATTTCCTGACAACTTTGCCAAAGACAAGACCACAGGAATGACCTTGGGGCAAATCACCTGCCCTCAAGCCATGCCAACAGCCCTTCATCTAAAACTTCTTCCTCTAATGGCATCTTTCTGCCCTACAAATCCTGGAGTCACTCATCCTGGCACTTAGAGAGATGGTGCTTCATGTAGGAAAGCACTTGGCATGTACCAGGAAATGAAAAGGCAGCAGTGCAGGAAACCAGGACACAGCCCCTACCATTAGCTGGGATGGTTCACAACTGACATGAGCTGGTCAGAAAATTACGACCTGCACAAAGGTGCCTGTGGGCCTGGGGCAGTGCAGGACTGCTATAAAAGGCAGCCCAAGTCTCTGCTCTCGCATCCACTTCTCTCACCTCCTTCTCCTCAGGAATCAGGTGAGTGGGAAGCCTCTTCTCCTTCTCCTCCTGCTTCAAGACCACGTCTTTCCTCACTGCAGGTCTCAGCTGATATGGGCTGTGTTAGCCCTGGGCTGGGAGCTGCTTCTGCTGGGAGAGGGAAGGGGAGAGAAGGTGTTGTGCAGAGAGAGGCTGGGACTTGGCTGAGGAGGCTGCTGGGCTTTGGGCTGGGCAGTGTCATGTGGTGCAGGAGGTGCCTTGTCTGCAGGGGGGTTGGGTGCATGGCTGCTTCTCATGTGTGTCTGCTTTGTGCTTCTCCCTGCCCTGTGTGCCAGGTGCCCCTGTGAGCCAGAGACATGTCGTGCTGCCAGCCCTGCAACCCTTGCTGCCAGCCCTGCGGCCCGACCCCGCTGGCCAACAGCTGCAATGAGTGCTGTGTCAGGCAGTGCCAGAGCTCCACTGTTGCCATCCAGCCCTCCGCTGTGGTGGTGACCCTGCCCGGGCCCATCCTCAGCTCCTTCCCACAGAACACCGTGGTGGGATCCTCCACCTCCGCTGCCGTTGGCAGCATCCTCAGCTGTGACGGAGTGCCCATCAACTCCGGGGGCTTTGACCTCTCCTGCATCACCAACCGCTACAGGTGTCGGCCCTGCTAAAGCTGCTGGCAACGTCCTGGGGCAAGAACCTCCAAGACCTCACAACATGGGGCTGGACTGAAAACAGAACTCCGGCACATTGTGTTTCGAGCTTCATGATGATGTTTCCATCTCCCACTCTTCCATCTCTTTCCTTTGCTTTCTGTGTCTCCCCAGACCAGCCCAGAGGGATCTGTTGTCCTCCCTCCGTCTCCAGGGCAGGCAGATGGACACCCTGCAGGAGCTCCACTGCATCTTAGTGGCTGCTCCTTTTGCTCTCTGTGAGCCACCTCCTTTGCTTCTTTAGACTCATTAAAGTTGTTGTGCATCCAAGCTTGGGCCTCTGAGTCCTCATATCTTTTGTGGCAACTCTTCTGTCTGTTCATTGTAGAAATTGGTGAAATTATAGGTTGGAATTCCCTTGAGTAGATTTTGTTTACTGCGTTTTGTGATAGAGGCGTCAAAATCATCCCTGCTAACTGTACAGTGAAAGGGCTTTAGGGACACCATGGCTCAAAGGGTGGCAGCAGTGAGGATGGGAAACCACAATGTCTGGGGAAAGCCCACAACTTCATCTCTTCCTTCTCCTCTTCTCCATTGCCCTTTCTAGTGCCCATGAGCAGCACACATGGCCAATGGCAGATGACACCCATACCTCTCACAGTCCTTCAGGCCCTGGCAGGGCCCAGCTGCTCTCCAGACATCCAGGGCTGAGACAACTCTCCGGCTGGGATCAGTATCTGCCATGATCAGGCTACGCAGTGCAGTCTCCATTCCTTGAACCCAACACCCCCAGGGCCAACCACAGCTGAGCACCCAGTGCCCAAAGAGCCACTTTCTGGCCACCACACCTCCACTCACAGGCAGAGGGGAACTGGGCAGATGATGCATAGAGCAACCCCACAGCCACTTTGGCTCTCTGCAAGACAATTATCCCTTATTTCTTCATGGATTTATTTCAGGTGTCCATCTACCATGAATTGGAGCAAATGACTTTTCGCTTCCTCATTGATTCACGTTTGCATATGGTTTTCAATGGCATCATTTTACACCTTGGACTTCAGCCCCAAGAAAAACTCTAAATCCTGGCATCCCTTGCTTATCCGTGGTCACCTGGCTGCAAAAAAAGGGACTCCAGAAGGCAAAGCTGGGCTCAGAATAATGGCTCAGGCACACAACACCCCATGGACCATGTGAAGTTCCCCTTGTGCTTTCCTGCACAGACACCATCCTTGTCCACCTCACTGGGCACTGGGCAGCTTCAGTGGTACAGGACGGGCACCAGCCCTATCCCAGCACAAACACTGAGAATGACCCTGCTCGTACTCATCTTCCCTGGCTCACCCAGTGCTCTGAGGCAGGGCCAGCCCCAGCTCTCTTCACACCCCAGTGCTTCTCACTTCCTGGCCAGGCTGTGCCTGGTCTTCCAAGAGCCTCTGGCCGTGGGAGATCTGTCCTCCAACACACCTTGCACTCCATGGGCAACCACATGGGAACACTGAGGGGCAGGGCTGTGCCCTCAGAGGAGTATTTCTTCTCCCCACCATGGGCTCTGCAGGGAACAGGACCAGTCTGGGCAGTTCCACTGTGTGGACCAGTACTCACACTAAGCCCAGGAAGGCACAGCCCAGAATGGATCCAAGCCACACTGTACTCTGGGCTTGGGAAATTGGACCCCAGGTACGCCAGGATGGAGCCCTTCCAAGTGCAGCAGAACTGGCCTCTGCAAGTGCTGGATAATCCATACATTCCTCTGGGTACCTCTATCTGCCACCTGAGACAGAAGTCTAATTGGTCCTGCTGACTCACCCATTGGTCGTTCTCATTTCTCTTGGTTGTGGCAAAAGGCTTCTAGAGAAGAAGTTCATTTCCTCGAGTCCCCCTGTGCTATTCTCTGTCTCCAGTGTATGTCTCTTTAGGTGATCAGTTCTAGGACATAAATAAGACATCAGCCAAGCACATCCCAATTTCTCCCGGGTATGGATATGTGTGTTCTCCACTGGGAATTCCATGGGCGAGTGAAGGGCAGGGCTGTGCAGAAGGGCCTGCAGTGGTGGGACAAAGGGGAACGGGGTTAAACTGGGAGACGGTAAGTTTAGATTAAATATTAGGAAGAAATTCTTCCCTGTGAGGGTGGTGATGCGCTGGAACAGGGTGCACGGAGAGCTTATGGATGCTCCATCCCTTCAAGTGTTCAGAGCAGGGTGGATGGGGCTTGGAGCAGCCTGGTCTAGTGAAACTATCCTTTCTCTTGACAGATGGCTGGGTTTAGATGATAAATATGATCCACTCTATCCCAAACCATTCTAGGACTCTTTGATCTGTGGGCTGTCCATTACAGATCACCTTTGTTCCCCAGGGTCTGTCTTTCTTTGGCTGCTGCTCTTGGGCATTGCTTTGGTCAAGGGATTCAGTCAGGAAGACACTGATGACAGACATCCATACATGGGAGGGATGTTTTCAATTAACAGTGAAGCCGTAAGTCATCTGTAAAAATGCAGTAAAAAGTTATTTATCACTGCATAGCCTGAGTGTGGCTGATACCAATCCCAAGCTGTGAATTACCTCAGCCCTGTATGTCTGCACAGAGGCTTTGCCTGCCTGTGCTGAGGGACTGTAGGAGGTACGTATCTCATCTGCCTGTGCTCCTGTGTGCTGGGCATGGACGCCAGACAATGGAATGGAGGGGAGGAGAAGGAGGAGACAAGGTTGTGGGCTGTCTCCAGGAAGTGTTCTTTTCCTTCTCCACTCCTGATAGCCTTTGGGGTCAGTGTTTCCCTGATGGCCTTTGTCCGTCAAGCAGTCAGGGATATTTTGGACAGCTCCAACAGAAAAGGTACAAAGTAAAATGCACTACAGGGACTCCCAAGGCCTGTTTTGTGCAGCATTTTCCCTGAGCACACTGCAAGAGTTGCCACAGAATAAAGGAGGACTTCGATGCCCAGGCTTGGAAGCACAACAGATTTATTGAGTTTAAGGAAGAAAAGGAGGTGGCTCACAATGAGCCCGAGGAACAGCCACTAAGATGCAGTGGAGCTCCTGCAGGTTGTCCATCTGCCTGCCTTGTAGAGGGAGGAAGGATAACAGAAAACAAAGGAAAGAGGTGGAAGAGCGGGAGAAGGAAACATCATCATGAAGCTCCAAATACAGCGTCTCAAAGTTCTGTTTTCAGTGCAGCATCCTGTTGTGAGGTCTTGGAGGATCTTGCCCCAGGACGTTGCCAGCAGCTTTAGCAGGGGGGACATCTGCCACGGTAGCAGTTGGTGATGCAGGAGAGGTCAAAGCCCCCGGAGTTGATGGGCACTCCATTACAGCTGAGGATGCTGCCAACGGCAGCGGAGGTGGAGGATCCCACCACGGTGTTCTGTGGGAAGGAGCTGAGGATGGGCCCAGGCAGGGTCACCACAACAGCAGAGGGTTGGATGGCAACAGTGGAGCTCTGGCACTGCCTGACACAGCACTCATTGCAGCTGTTGGCCAGCGGGGTCGGGCCGCAGGGCTGGCAGCAAGGGTTGCAGGGCTGGCAGCACGACATGTCTCTGGCTCACAGGGGCACCTGGCACACAGGGCAGGGAGAAGCACAAAGCAGACACACATGAGAAGCAGCCCTGCACCCAACCCCCCTGCAGACAAGGCACCTCCTGCACCACATGACACTGCCCAGCCCAAAGCCCAGCAGCCTCCTCAGCCAAGTCCCAGCCTCTCTCTGCACAACACCTTCTCTCCCCTTCCCTCTCCCAGCAGACGCAGCTCCCAGCCCTGGAGTAGCACAGTCTGTGTTAGATGAAGCAGGTGGAGAAGAGGCTTCCCACTCACCTGATTCCCGAGGAGAAGGAGGTGAGAGAAGTGGATGCGAGAGCAGAGACTTGGGCTGCCTTTTATAGCAGTCCTGCACTGCCCCAGGCCCACAGGCACCTTTGTGCAAGTCATAATTTTCTGACCAGCTCATGTCAGTTGTGAACCATCCCAGCTAATGGTAGGGGCTGTGTCCTGGTTTCCTGCACTGCTGCCTTTTCATTTCCTGGCACATGTCAAGTGTGGTTCATTTCTCTATGTGTCCAATTAGAGGCCAAAGCATTTCCAGGGCAGAAAGATGTCAGCAGAGTCAGAATGCTTAGAGTTGGTGGCATCCTCTGTGAGCAGGTGATGTTCACCTGTGTTACTTCTGTGCGTTCATTTATCCTAAAGTTGTCAAGAAACGGGCATCAATCTTGTGCTTCTCTCCCACATGCCCAGGAACTGCTGTGTATAGGGACATGGCAGCATCTTTGCAGAAGAATTTCCACTTCCCGAGGTTTTCCTGGCCTTATATCAGCATACATACTTTTGCTTGACTCCATGCAGACATGCATGAACACACATTTGTCAGTCTGTGCTTGTGAGACCCTCATCATGACAGCATGTGCAGGTCAGACAGTTTTGCTGGTGCCTGGGATGAGACACAGGCTCCTCATGTCCAGGCCAATGCCAGATGCACTTCTACAGCTCATCATCCTGGTGCTGATTGAGGCAGTGGCTGCACCTCTGCATGTCTGTGATGGAAGAACATGGGACTTGCCCAAGGTGTCTTTTCCCTTGGATCCATGCCATGCACCCTACCTCTGTAGATGGGTGAGAATGTGCAGAGGAGAAGGGGACTCTGGTCTCAAGCCAAGGTTATTTCTCTCTTATTGCCATCTTCTGTCTGAGCCTTCTTCCACAACACAGCTCCACCCAGAGCAAGAGGAACTGCCTTCAGTGATTGTGGTCCCCTGACCTCCCAGGACGTCCTGCAGCACCAGGGTCCTCCCAAGAACACAGCACAGGTTGGGCTCACCATCAGCAGGGCACGTTCCAAGGACAAGGGGAACATTTCTGGGCTGAGATTCAGGGGCTGATAATCACTGGTTGTGGAGTAGCCAGAGTTGTTGTCCTCACCTCCAAGGGCCAGGGCCTGAAGGAGGCCAACAGACAGTGTGTCCTTCCCTTCTATTACACCAAGGAATGAGAAAGGGTCCACTTGCTTACCCATTTGTTTTCTTACAGCATATCTTCCTTCTCCCTGGACAGCTTTAGTGAGGATCTAAACAGGAAAGAACCCAAAGCTTGGATGCAGAAGAGTTTGTCTCTGTGAAAACACCGGAGTGAAAGGATCATCATGGGCAGGCAAGGGTCAGTGTCCTACACAGGGAGAGAGACAGGCAGGTCCACCCTAAGCTGGTATTGGTGGGGCTTCAACACTGAGGGAGTAGAAAACAAGAAAGGACGAGGAAGGAAAAGGGAGGTGGCAACATTCTCCACCTTTCAGTCTGACATCAACTTCTTGGTTTCCAGTGCTCCTTGTCTTGTCTGTCATCAGTGGCTTTAGCAAGGGGGACACCTTCTGCTGCCACAGCAGTGGATGGTCTTGAATTATGGTCAAATTACAGGAAACATTGGTTAACACGTGTTGTTTTGCACCTGTTTTCTCTAGATGCCATTACTACTTGAAAATTTTATAAAATAAGAGAGAGAAAAAACATCTCCTCATTATCTCAGACCCCTTATCTTGTTTTTTTTTCTCCAAATAATTCTGCTTCTCCCTTTGATCTATCTGGACCCAGTTTTTAGCAGACAGGTGTGAAGAAGAAGTGTTGTGGAAGCCCTTTTCTCTCTCTGCAGTACGTATTTTCTTACCTTTAAACCAAAACAAGCCAGGGGAGGGAGGGGACGTGTCTGTGCAAGGCTGAGCTCAGGGAAAGGTGGGCTCTTCTCTTACAGAATTATTTCCTTAGTGCACCCAGAGACCTCCAGGCCATTGTGTTCTTCCAGAAGGGGTCAATGTTCATGGCTTGAGAAGCAGGAGAAGGTGGTGAAAGAACCCCTGCTTTGGAACTGGTTTCCCTGTGTGCACACTAGGACAGGAAAATATTTGTCATGTGCTGTACAGAGAATGCCTGTCCATTCTCCTCTCTGTGTGCTCTGCACAGCACCAAGGGTTGGAAGGAACCAACCTGAGCCTTGCAACCGGTTCCTGTCAAAAAAGCTTCTTTTTTCTCTGGATAAAAACCTTCATTTTGTTCTCCGAGTTTTCCTCTAAACCCCATCAGGGTGGACCTTCCCACAGTAGACTTTTCTTGAGAAGATAATGGTGCTGACACAGAGCTCCAGAAGAACTGCATCCCCTAACTTCCATGAAAGTGGAAATCCCTAAATGGAGAGGAGCATGAGCACTAAGGTTTCTTAGTGCCTTTGACAATGCCTGTGACAATTTCCGTCCCTCTATTCTGTCCAGGCTGAGCACAGGAGAGCATTCACATGAAAATTCATCTTACAGCAGACATATTTTTCTCAGGTCATTGTGGAAGCTGAGTTCAGCAGTGTGAGATGATCTGAGTTCTGGCTGAACTTGAAATCCTTCTTTTGAATCCTTGTAGGTCTGCAAAGGACTAATGTATATCAGATATTGATGCTTTCAGCCTGGCAGGATCAGGAATGCATGTGTGCATGCATAAGACTGTCATGGGGTATATGTCGATAGGTCTTGGTCCATGGAGAAAAGAACACACACACACACAACACGGTGATGAGACAAAGGGATGTCTGCTGCTCCAGAGAAGCAGCAGCTTTTATTCAGTTCGCTCGCTTCTACTTTCCCATACACACAGAATATAAACACAGCCAAACAGCTTCGCCCCTGTACTCCTTAAAATTCAAGGCTGTGTCCATGGAAACATCCAATTAGCCTCACTGTTCTCATGGGAAAGGGCCTAACTCTCTGTAATATTTTAAACTCTTCAAGCCCCATGGGTTTCGTGGAGATGCCACTTCTCCCCACATAAGACTTCTCTGGACCAGAGAGCTTCTTTGCACAGAGGGACAGGCCTCAGCCAAGCAGGGCATATGCTGTCAGGGATATTTTGCTTCCCATGTACTTCTGATACTTCTTGGCCTTGTGCCCCTTTAGGGACACCTCGTTCTACTCTTGTTCTTGCTGCATCTCTGGCTTCTCCCGCTCCTTCACCTCACCAACGAGGAAGGGGAGAGGATTTGCATCAAGCCTAATGGCAGCGTGAGGTCTGTGACACCAACAGCCCGATCTCAGACGGGGCCACCCACCTGCGGCGGTTCATATTACAGGAAGAGTGTAGCAAAGCATCTTGGGACCTGTAGTCCTTGGTACTCTATCGCACACGCGCAGTGGCATGCTTTAATGCCATTGGTTAAGAGCTCACGTGTCATGACTCAAGCATTGTATTTAAACGCGTTCTTTGTAATGAACTCAATTCAGGCTGGGTCCACTTGTAGTTTGGGTTCGTGCCAAAACAGGTATCACACCCATCCTCCTTCGGAGCAGTTTTGATATCTCCTCTGTGGCTGATAGGAATAACTACAGACCCTACCACTTCCTGGTGGCCTGGTCATATTCTTAGGAGTGAAATGGTGTTCTGGGATCAGCCCCAGTTCCTATGGAGGCAGCAGTGCTGCACTGACATGCTCTTATGGCTGGGCTTGGGGCAAGCTCGGCTCCCAGTAAGCTGCTGTCACCACCACGGGGAGGGCTGGATGAAGACATTGGAGTCCTGGCACTGCCTGACACAGGGCTCATTGCAGCTGTTGGCCAGCGGGGTCAGGCTGGCAGGGCAGGCACGGGGTGTAGCAGGACATGTCTGGGGCTGGAGCTGCACCTGGGAGAAACACTTGAAATGAATTAGAGCACTGGGACACGTGAGGAGCAGTTGGTCACAGGTCACAAGCCCATCACCCCACTGTGAATGTTTCAAAGGCTAGGAAGTAGAGGCTGGGTGGTGAGACAAAAAAGTTTCTTGGCCTCATCCAAACACGATACTGCAAAGTGTCACCAGGCCCAGTGGGGCTGCTGCCTGTTTCTTCAATGAAGGGCCTCCTCAGGCAAATTCCAGACAGTCTCTGAGTCAGATCTTTGCTTTTTTCCCCTTCCCATGATAAGGAGCACCAAAATCCTGGATGGAAGCGTTGGATGGAAGATCATGCATCTGCATGACCAGAAAAAATGTTGGGAGGAAAGGACTTCAGACTCACCTAGATTGCAAAGGAAAGGAAGAAAGAGAGGTAGATGACAGAGCAAGGAGTTGGACTGGCTTTTGTGGTGGCTCCAATCTGCCCCAGGGCCAGAGGTGGCTGTTGTGGAAGTGGCAATTTCCTAGGGTGCTCATGATGAATGGAAAACCTCCCAGCTAATGACATGGGCTGGGTGGTTTTTCTCCCCAACACTACCTGTTATTTTCCTGGTGTATGTCACACACATTCCCTCACAGAGGCTTCTGAGTGCAGGGATTGAGAGGCTCCAGGATTTCCAGGGCAGGATTATTCTATGCCAGCAGAAGACTCAGCTCAAGTGCTGGATGGCTGCAGGGCAGGCAAGTGATGTTGGCCTGGAGCTCGCTAGTAGTGTTGCCTGTGACTGTATTGAGAGGAAGGGGCCCTGAAATCCTTGGCTGGTCACCCTAGGGATTTCCTTGTGTGAGGACATGCTGTGTCTCCCTTCTCTCTCTCCCTCCCTCCCTCCCCAGTGAGGATGTTACCCTGTGGAGGCTGCCTTTTGCACTCCCAAGT